GGGTTTCTTCAGTCTCTGTCAGGCCAGTAAGTCTGGTCTTTTTTTGTGAGTTAGAATTTTGTTCTACATTTTTCTCCAGCTCTGTCTGGGACCCTCTGTGGTGATCCCTGTCAGAGCAGTCAGTGGTGGTAGCCAGGCACCATCCAGTCGTATGTAATTTTTAATCCTTAAAACCACCCTATCGTTATCTCCTTTATACAGACAAGGAACTTGAGGCTCAAAAAAGGTAAGATCTTTCCCAATATTACAGCACTGCTAATAAGGGACAATTTATATTTATGCCAATTTACGTTGAAAGTCTGTGTTTTTTCCACAATAGCTTAAGTTTCATGCATATATACATTTAAAATTATACAAGTCACATTTTCTTCATTAGATTTTTGGTCTCCGTGGTTCTCTGGGTCCAATAATTTTCCATTAAGTCTAGAACATCACTTACAGATTGAACCTTAGGAAGAAGAAGCCAAAGTGAGGTTTTGTAGAGCAATGACTTTGGAATCCAGTTCAGATGACGGCTCACTTTACCTAACGTTATCTTCTCACCTCCAGTGCTAGAGCACTTTAACCTGAAATGGATTTGGAATGATTTAAACGAGTTTTAAGAGCATACATTTAGACGGGTGTGTTTGAATCCCACCTCCACCAGTGATGAACTATTGTTCTTGGAGATGTCACCCTTTCTTGTGTTTCCTTATCTGTAAATGGAGGATAATAATAGTGATATCTATCTCATAGGCTCTTTGTAAGGAATAATGAGAAAAGAATATGCTTAAATCATACTTAATTAATAAAAACAAAAAACCAAACCTGTTGCCATTGAGTCGATTCCAGCTCTTAGCAGAGTAGAACTGCCCCATAGAGTTTCCAAGGAGCGCCTGGTGGATTCGACCTGCTGACCTTTTGGTTCGTAGTCTTAGCTCCTAATCACTATGCCAGCAGGGTTTCCACCTGATTAACCGTATATACTAAATTTAATATTATTAATTATTACCAATAAGTATTTTATGTATCAAGTAATAATAGAGGTATTGCGTTCAAAATTGTGATGGAGTTACAAGCATTAGAGTGTTTGGCACACAGCTTCAAAGCACATGGGGCAGAGAGTTTCACGCTGCATGTATTCTCTGATATGATTTTTTTTTTTTTGCAAAGCAAAATGTTTTTATGTACTTCCCTTTCGTCCCCACACCAGTTAAAACCTCCCTGATGGTATAATGGAGCCCTGATGGCACAGTGGTTAAGAGCTGGGCTGCTAACCAAAAGGTTGGCAGTTCAAATCCACCAGCTGCTCCTTGGAAACCTTATCGGGCAGTTCTGCTCTCCCCTATAGGGTCGCTGTGAGTTGGAATCCACTCAATGGCAATGGATTTTGTTGATTTGGTGGTGTAATGGTTAAGCACTTGGCTGCTAACTGAAAGGTCAAGGCTCAAACCCACCAGCCGATCCGTGGGAGAAAGGACCTGGCGATCTACTCCTGTAAAGATTACAGCCTAGTTAACTCTGTGGGGCAGTTCTGCTCTGTCCTGTTGGGTTGCTTTGAGTCTGAATCGACTCGATGACATACAACAACAGCCTTCATATTAGGTCCATGGGTGGCAGAAACAGTTTGTGCTCCATTACTAATCCAAAGGTTGGCAGTTCAAACCCACCCAGTGGTGATGTGGAAGAAAGGCCTGGCAATTTGCTTCCATAAAGATTACAGCCAAAAAAAAAAAAACTCATGAAGAATTTCTACTTGTAAGAAGACACAGGGTCACCATGAGTCAGAATCCACTTGATGGCAATGGGTTTGGGCCTTCATATTTCTCTTCCCACCCTCCTCTGTTATTTATTATTTCTTCTAGGGAAAAAAAATATTTTCCAAGATAATTCTTGAGTAAACCTTACTATTCTCAGATTTCCAAGATAATGTGGATTCATAACTGAGGTAGACAAACAGTCATATTAGTCCTGTTCCATACACACAAGTTCTGCCAAGAATACTCGAAACTATTTTCTGTTGGCATATTTACAATTCTGAGAAATCCACCGTGATGTATCCTTTATAGATAAAGTACAGGAAGGCTCAGGGCACTGGCACCTTTAGCTCTAAGTGGACACTGAAAGTCATCTGTACAATGTTTCCAAGTAAAAGTGGTTTACAGCTGTCAACCTGGATGAAATTAATGCTCAGCTTGTTTACTTCTATGTTATCTTACGACTTTGTAATCTGTCAATGGGTAGGAAGTCTTGGGGCATTAATATTTCATTTATAGTTGACTTCATGCATAGCTTTTTTTGCATTTAAGTTTATGAATTATATAAAATAACATCTTTCTTTCTGGAACTCAGTGTTCATGACGAAGAAAAAAAGTTAATATAAATTCCTAATAGAACTAGGATGTCAACACTTATCATGTATTGCTATATTGATTTTTTTGATGAGTAAACGTCAGCCCAGAGAAATGAAATGGACCGTCTCCATGCTGAACTATAACACCGTGATGGCACCTGTCATTGGCATCTGAATATATTTAGTGTTGATGTTACCCGCCTTAGCCATGGCTCATTTCTGCCCCCCAGATCAGGAAGTGGACCCATTTCCTGGTGGGGAAAGCTTTCAGTTGTTCATGCTTAAGGGGAAATACCATAAATGCATTGTTTGTTGTAAATGAAATTCTGATCACACTTGTAACCACTGTACTTTGCTATCAAACCCCAACGACCGAGTTCAACCTTTGATCAAGGGGAACTGAAAGGCGTCTGAAGGAATTGTTTCACTCCGTGTCTTCTCCACCCCCAGGTGAGTACAAAATGCCGCGGCCTCTGGTGGGAGTGTGTCACGAATGCTTTTGATGGGATTCGCACCTGTGAGGACTACGATTCTATATTTGCGGAACACTCCTGTATGTATGCCTTAGCCCTCTGCTGCCAGGGACGAGGGTGTGAGGACACGGCTAGGCAGGGAGGGAGGGCCACAGAAAACTCAGCTCGGTTTTCATGGTGTGTTTTTGCTTTCTACAGAATTGTAAACACCCTCTGTCCAGTTTTAAATGTTTCAGTTGGAAACGGAGTTCATTTCTGCAAAGTGAATTGAACCTTGGTTGTTTAGCATATTTGTCTTTTCCCACGTGTTGATAAATTCCTTGAGGGTTGAAATTCTACCTTACCCATCTCTGTTATCCACAAAAGGTCTTGCTGTACACAGTAGGCTTATAGTAAATGCTTTTTGAATTGAAAGAAATTCTTTAGGGTGCTACGATTTTATGATGAGAAATGACAGGTTCGATGAAAAGCATTTTAGAGCTGTCTTTCAGCTATGACTTAGTTCAAACAGAAGGCTTACAGTGATTTCAGTTGAAGGTTTGCTAAGAAAGAGAAAGGTGGAGATAGAGGTACAGAGACAGAAAGAGACAGAAAAACTGACAGGCAGACAGACAGCCAAAGAGAGACACCCAGACTGTGGGGACCAGTGAATGAAAAAAAAAAAAAAATCGGCAGAGGCGACACATTATTAGTAAAACTATTAAAACCATCTCTACCATTTCTCTTACGTTTAGCTTAAAATTATGATTAGCTGGTACCAGTGCCTGTGCTTTTATCAATAAAGAGACCTCTTAGATTAAAAAATCTTATTGTTGAGTCTCTCAATCCTTCTTCATAGTTTAAAAAAAAAAAGCGATGCCAAGAAATAGCAGTCTTGTTAAAGCAAAGGGGTTTTAGTTTCTTTCAAAGAAAGTGATGGGTGATGGCACCCCATGACAACCACTATTCTGAAGAGAAATGAACAGTAAACCCTTGGAATGTGACTTATCCCGTTTCGATTGGGCTATTTCAGTCCAGGGAAAAAGCACTTCAAAGAAGCAGGGCTTTAAAATAACCTCGCCTGCCATTTAGGAGCTGGATGCCTGAAACGTTTTTTAACATAATTCATAAGGTCTTTATTTCATTTTTTTGAAAGGGCCCCTAAATCTTTCCCTCCCCTCCCTCCCCGCCCCCGTGCTAACCTAGCTCTACCTACTAAGATGTATGATTTGGTCAATAAGAGTGGAAATTGGTGTGAGTATTGGGCCCATTCCAGAAATGCAGTGGTATGGTTAGATCTGAGAAGAAAAAAAGAAAGAGTAAACATTTTAAACCTTTAAATAATGTTACGGACGTTTGAGTAGGAAGAAAATAAAATCACCCATAAGCCTACGAGGCAGAGAAGAGCACTATTTGCATTTTACTAAGTTCCTTTTTCGTCTGTTGTTTATACTATTTCATATTTTTTCTTTTGATATGTTCCTAACTATTAATTCCAAATAATATACTAAAGACCCATTACTTCACTTGTCTTTTACAAATCGTTTGTAAGCTAAAGGCCACAGAGACGAAAATGCGTTCTAGTGCGTGCTGACCAAAAGGTCGGCAGATCGAATCCACCAGCCACTCCTTGGAAACCCTAAGCGGCAGTTCTACTCTGTCCTATAGGGTCACTAAGAGTTGGAATTGACTCAATGGCAGTGGGTTTTTTGGTTTTATATATTAATAACATAATTTGTATTATATTACCCATAAATACGGTAAAAACTGATTTTATACTTTAATTTCCTCTGTCTTAGATGCAGCATAAAAATATTTTTATTTTAAATACAGAAAATTGGCCACATCTTTGCAAGCAACCTATTGCTAAATAGATTCTAAGGTCACTCATTGAGGAAAACTGATTTAAAATGCAAGGAAGCCCCAAATCACTAAGAAAATAAAACATAATTCAATGTTGTACCATCAAAGCAAACATTTTATTACTTCTCTAACATCGATGATTCTGACTTGAGTTAATTAACCCTCTGTTCTAGATATAATTTCTGCATTTTTAATTTACCTACTTGTGACGCATAGGTCAGGAGACTTTTAGAGTTGAAGATGTGGCTTCTATTGCAGAAGACAACTCATACTATTCCACTTCTATTTGCCTGATCTTACCACATATTCTTCTTGGCTGTAGCTTTAAAATATGCTCATTTACCCACAGAAGGTTGATGTGTTAGTATGAAGTCTCGGCCAAGAAGGGTACTGATCGGAAGGGCTGAAAGAGAACATGATCTGGCTTCCAGAAATAGTTTCCTGCTCCATAGTAGAATATTTTTCCCCTCCTTTAAAGATATGCTAATGGATGCCACCAGAGTGAATTGGCAAGAGGTCTTGAAATATTTTCTCCTGCTCCTCCATACCAAATTTTGATGAGTTTTTAAAAAAAATTTTTGTTTCTTCAATAAAACTTCAAATAAGTGTAGTGATCATTTACCCATTTATTCATTCAGTATTTATTAGGTAAGCTCTGCAGAAGAGTTACTCTACCTTCAACTCAGCATTCAGCTATAATACTTGTGAGCAAGACTCATTGCAGAGCAGGAGACAAAGAGGAAAACATTTATTTAGTTCCCACTATGTGCCGGGCTCTCTCTTAAGATGGCAACAAGATTAAGTAATAAAGGGAACTTAAACAAATAGTTGGAGCCCTGGTGGTGCAGTGGTTAAGGGCTATAGCTGCTAACTAAAAGTTGGCCAGTTCGAATCCAGCAGCCGCTGACTGGAAACCCTATGGGGCAGTTCTACCCTGTCCTAGAGTGTCGCTCTAAGTCGGCATCGACTTGGCAGCAACAGGTTTGGGTTTTTGGTTTAAACAAATAGTACTGTCAAGATTCTCATAATATTGTTTAAGTTTTACAAAAAACTCATTTCTATATTCATGCAAATTTAAAGTCTGTCTTCTAGGAATGGACCTGTGTTAATGTACTTGGTTGTCTGTTCACGTGTCTCTGTGAATTAATATCTTTCCCTTCTCTGTGTCATAACCATGTGTCCTGATCACCCAGTGAAGCTGGTGGCAACACGGGCGTTAATGATTACTGCAGATATTCTGGCTGGGTTTGGATTCATCACTCTGCTTCTTGGCCTTGACTGTGTGAAATTCCTCCCTGATGAGCCCTACATCAAAGTCCGCATCTGCTTTGTTGCTGGAACCACATTACTTATAGCAGGTACTGGTCTAGACTAGTGATGGAGGTAGAGAGAGATCCTTATCGAAGTACTTCAGTGGAGCTTCAAGACTAAGACAGACTAGGAAAAACACCTGGTGATCTACTTCTGAAAATTAGCCGATTAAAACTCTATGGATCACAGCAGAATACTGTCTGATACAGTGCTGGAAGATGGGCCCCTAGGTTGGAAGATAATAATGGACTCCAGCATGGGAACTACCATGAGGTTGGCGTAGACCAGGCCGCATTTTGTTCTAGTGTGCATGGGGTCACCATGAGTTCGAGTTGACTGGGCAGCAACGAACAACAACAACATCCCCATAGTCAGCCTAGTGATAATATAAAGGCTTTGTATGCAACAATCTGTTTTATTATTTATCAGATTTTAAAACCGTATAGTTTTTCATACAATTTTTCTCCAGAATACTTTCTGGGAAATCACTAGATACCCCATTTTTTATAAAACAATAAACCAAACAAAATTTCAAGGAAATGCAGAAGCTGAAAAAAAAAATTCCCACAGGAAAGGCTAAAGAAATGACTTAATTAAATATCTGAGGATGGCTAAAGGCATGGAAACATCACTCAGAATTAGTGTTCTAGATAAAATAAAGTTCATAATCTTTCCAAGTTACAAAAAAGGAACCTACCCCCAAACCTGTGGATGACAGAATTATAGAAAAGTTGTGGCAATTTATATTCTGTTTTCTAAAGGTTATGTGTTCATGATCTAATCCTTCTTAGAGTTATTGCATTAAACAATTAGGACAAGAACGTAAAAAAATGGTTGTTTGCTTAGACATCACTGGTTCCCCAGGGGGGTGACAAAAACATGAAAGCTTTTTGGGAGGGTACAAATAACCTTTTCCCATAGCCTTTTGTCCCCACTCCCAGCTCGCGCCTTCATTTCTTATATCTAAGCCTTGACATGAGATTTATACCTTTAAGGTGATAGGACACTGATGTCATCATATCAAGACAGTTGTCAGATTGGCTAATCTATTGGGATTAAATTTGACTGTGAAGGAGTAACATTTTTTAGTCCATTCTTATATGGTGTGGGGTGGGGAGCGAGGGTTTATTTTAAAGTAAAGATTATTTTTAATTTTCTTCCTTGTTTTTAACCCCAAAACATTAAAATGAACGACTTTAAAAACACAGCTTCCATAAAGATGCCGACTGTGTAGCTGGCATAGTTTCAGTTATGGGTCTGGGGAGTTGGGGCAGGGGAACAACAGGCCTCTCTTAATGATATATGTATTTTCAACTTAAAACACTCAATACAGAATGAACATATGCTCTATAGTATTTGTCTTGAACTGTGTATTCTTTCGTTTTTAATATTTTCCTTTCTGCAACACTAAAATGATTTTGAAAAAAGATAGGAAAATTAAAGAAACCCATAGTGACCATTTCAGGTTCAGAAAAACCGATGAGTATTGCTCTTTCATATTTGTATTTCCCTACATGTATATACTAAGATATAATTTGGAAGAGACACAAGATAGAAAGCCAAAGAAAGAGATAGAGGAGAAGTGTCCAAAATTTGAGTTGCCCATGAATTCATAGCATCCTTATTACCCCTCTGAATCACGCCAGACATTTTGGATAGTAGGCAGATGTCTTGGATCTACATTTGGAAAACTCCAGGCATATTTCCTTTCTTTCAGGTGCTCCAGGGATCATTGGCTCCGTGTGGTATGCTGTTGACGTTTATGTGGAACGTTCTTCTCTGATTTTGCACAATATATTTCTTGGCATCCAATATAAATTTGGTTGGTCCTGTTGGCTTGCAATGGCTGGATCTCTTGGTTGTTTTTTGGCTGGTGCTGTTCTTACCTGCTGCTTATACATCTTTAAAGGTAAAAACAAAACAAAATCGCATACGTTCATTTCCACTATCATACTTCCCAACCCAGTGGAAACACGTCGCACCGGCACAAAATAATGTCACTCATTTAATTCCTACCTATTGCCTGAAAAATTGCCATCGTTCAAGAACAACTGAGTTACAATACTTGAACCTCATTACCCAATCAGTGGTATATTTCTTGGAAAAGAAAACCTACAGCTAAACCTCTGTCTGATATTCAAATACATAATGGTTCTTTAGATGGATTATCATCTTCTATATCTCACTTCATCCAAATTACTAAATTTATATTTGGAGTTAAATAAAGAAATGGGCTGAGAATAAAGTCAAATATTTGTTGTTAAAGAGTTTGATGTGTTACTACTGGGTTTCTAAAAACCTCTCTTAAAAAAAATAAGTAAATCCCTATCTTCATCAGAGAAAAATTGAAGTTTTTGGCTAAATTTTAAATCTAAAATAGCTTTCAGGATGAAAGTCCTGGGTTCTTCTTAGATGATTCCTACTTAGAAAGAATATTTATATTCTTGCCCCTTTTTTGAGAGAACATATAAAATGGTACTTTTGTTCCCGTTTACTGAGCAATACTTATGTTTATATAGCTGCATTAATCTCTTTCAAACAGGTATTGGACCTGAGAAGAATTACCCTTACTCCATGAGAAAGGCTCATTCAACTGCGGGTGTCTCCATGGCCAAGTCATACCTAGCCCCTCAGACAGAGACTGCCAAAATGTATGCTGTAGACACACGGGTGTAAAGTGCCATGTGTTTATATATTAATTGATCAATTAATATCTTCAAGTTAATACAATAACATGTCAATCCAGGAAAAACAATTATTTAGACTTTATGTCAATTAATTTAATTGCTCAATTTAATCAAAAAGTTTCATTCATCTATCACTTCTCCTTTCTATTATTCTCATATCTTCCCTCATTCTTTTTCTCTTCACACACACACACACACACACACACGCAAACACACAGAGTCTCTCCCTCTCTGTCTTTCTCTCTCTCTCCCTCACACAGACTTTTTCAGATAAGATTGCTAGGACTTAGACACGTTTGTTTGTGATTTGTGTATTACTATATTAGAGATTGTGACATGGAGATATTAAATACAATGACACTTTAATAATAGCAACTTTCAAAAGAGGCCAGAGATTATACTCTTTGAAAGGGCTGACAAGCTCTTAGCTGTCTCCCTAGCTTTGGTTCACTTTTTGTATTCTCAATTCAGAGAAATATTTGATAACTCTGAAGAAAATGAATCTTGCAAAGTCAAACTATTATATATAACGCCTAAGATTGCTCTGATTCTTTTAAAATAGAAAAAGAAAAAAACAGCTCCATATGCCAGCCACTGGTGGGAGTTAAAGACAAGAAGATCTTCCTCTACACTCTAAATGTCAAAGGCAAATGTCAAATTAACATTGGAGTCAGTGGTGACTTTCTACCTAATTAACAACATAAGGGATTTGTGTATTATTTCACCACTACTCTAAGTTTATCATGTTATCAGGAGGGACCAGCCGCTGGAGAAGGACATCATGCTTGGTAAAATAGACCATCAATGAGAAAGAGGAAGACCCTCAATGAAATGGATGGACACAGTGGCTGCAACAATGGGCTCAAGCACAACAACAGTTGTGAGGATGGCGCAGGATGGCATAGTGTTTCATTCTGTTGTACATAGGTTTGCTATGAGTCAGAACTGACTTGATGGCACCTAACAACATGTAGTTTGCCTACATATTGCCAAATTATTAGACCTACAACAGTAATAGCTAAACCAGGAAGTTCACTCATGTCTTAATTGAATGTCCAAATATGTTTCATGATTGCCCCGTACTAGAATTCACCATTTCAGGTGACTACCACTCATCATTCTTAGAACCCAGCAAAATAACTGTCACATGATATAATTTATATAAATATTTATCCAATTAAAGAAATAAATGTTCACAACTCGCTCCTAAATTTTTTTAAATAAAAGATGTGCTTTTTGAAAAAATGGAATTATATACATGCTTAAAGAAGTTAGTGAATGATTGCTAATGGGATTTCATTCATATTCATAATGTAATCATCTTCAGTTTTTAAAATGCAAAGTTTTTTTAAAAAGGTTATGGAATTTAATCTCAAGTTTTCTGATTCCTTGCAATTCACATGAATAGCTTTAATACCTTTGCAGTACCTTATAAAGAATAACAGCTGAACTAGAAATGAGTTCTTTGGAGAAATGGAAATGAAGTTGTGAATCTCTGAAGACCTCAGAAGAAGCATTTCATATATAAAAAGCCAATAGTAATGGGAAAATGAGATGTGATAAAACCTACTACATATATTAATGTTGTTGAGGATATTGTTCATGATTCTGCAAAGAATCTGCACTCTTTACTAGTATTCTCAGGAGCAATTCCAATCTTATCTTTGAAGCAAGAGCAATTGATTCACTTTTGTCTCATTGATATCATTAACTATCAATTTCTTTTTTTTTGGTGGGTTGTATGTACGTTCTGTTGTTGTTGTTAGCGTTGCTGTTGAGTCAATTCTGACTCATGGCGGCCCTGTGTGTTACAGACTAGAACTTCTCCATAAGGTTTTCTTGGCTATAACCTTAACAGAAGCAGATTGCCAGTCCTACCTTCTGTGGTACCAATGGGTGGGTGGGCTCGAACCACCAACTTTTAGATTAGCAATCAAGCGCAAACTGTTTGTGCCACCTAGGGACCTTGTACTAGTTATACAGGTATTATTCCATGCATTTTAAAACTCATTTTGTATTCTACTTTTTTTCTCACCCTTGGTTATGTTGTATCTTTATTTGTATTCCTCCTTTTACTTAATAATATATTGTCATGTTTTATGTATTCTATAAGTCTCTTGAAATTTTTCTGGGGTAAAAATTAATTAAAAAGGTTCATCAGATTTTAAAGATGTAAATTAGTCCCTTTTGAAGATTTCATTTGTATGAGGGAATATTTCAGAGGATTGTTGTGATAATTGAAATACATGACTGTTTTGAATTTTTTCTTAATTAAAACTTTTTGTATATCCTGAGAAGAATGTTAATATTTTTTTTTTCAATTTCCCTGGGAATATTTATTTATAATACATTTTGATTTAATGAAGCACCACAAAATGAGGCAAAAAGAAAAGTATTTTGCACAGCATCAAGTGAACATACACAAATTAAATGGTGAAGAAGTAATAACTGACATGGGGGTGACTGAATAGGCCAAGAGTAAAATAGAATTAGAAGTCAAAGTGCACACATATGAGAGTGTTGGGTTGAAACATTAAAATAGCCCACTAAATTCTGAGCGTTATAAATTTAGTCATGTCATGTTAATATCAACAAAATACAAAAGAAAATTTATTAATTTTACTTACATATATATATATATTTTACTTATCCCTGTATTAACTACTTATGTTCTATTATCACGCTGTATTTGGAATTAGCTTCCTGTTATTATGAAAGTTGTATGTGTGCATTGTAGAAGGTTAGAAAACACAAGCAACCCAAAATATGTATCTTATTTAAACACCAAGACACCGTATTCCCTCCACCTAGAACGTTACGACTCCTAACACCTCACTGGAAACCTTGGTGGCATGGTGGTGAAGAGCTATGGCTGCTAATCAAAAGGTAAGCAGTTGGAATCCACCAGGTGCTCCCTGGAAACTCTCTGGGGCAGTTCTAGTCTGTCCTATAGGGTCGCTATGAGTCAGAATCGACTCGATGGGTATGGGTAACACCTCATTGTCTATCTTCATACCTTTCCATATGTCCTTGTTTATACATATACATACATACACACACATGCTCATATACATATATATACATATACATGTATTTCTTTTTGACAGAGATCATTCCGTACGTGTTGCTTTGTAACTTACTTTTCTTTTTTAGTTAGCAATCTCTGCCTTTGCATCATAATAAATTTTCATCTTATTTAATAGCTAGTCCATATTTAAATTTCCCAAGTATCCCAAAATTCCCTGGAGAGCTGGTTTGTCCAAACCAGGATGTGCAGGACCTGCATTTCCTGTGGTTGTTATGCTCTTTAAGTCTTTTTTAATCAAGTTTTTTTTTTTCACTGACCTAACTTGTTAAAAAAAAAAATTTTTTTTTTTTAAGTTTTTCTCACCTTCTGGATTTGTCTGGTGGTTCTATTTAGCTTTTTTCCTCTATGCCTTGTATTTTTAGTAATGCATAATTTAAATCTAAAGGATTGAAGCAGTGAAGTTTGTTTCTTATTAGAATACACCATAGATGATGTGACAGTAAACTAAAAAAAAAAAAATTGCCATTGAGTCAGTTCCAATTCTTGGCAACCCCATATGTGCAGACTAGAACTGCACTCCACAGGGTTTTTAGTTGCTGATTTTTCAGAAGTAGATCACCAGACCTTTCTTCCAAGGCACCCCTGGGTGAATTGTAACCACCAACTTCTGGTTAGTAGCTGAGTGCTTAACCATTTGAGCCCCCAGTTCTTTAACAATAAATATTTGGTTTTGCTCTCAGTCCATTTCTTTAACTCCAAATATAAATTTATTTATTTACTTCAGAGTCCACCTCTGGGTGGGCCAAACTGTCAACCTTTTGGTTAGCAGCCAGATTCATTTAACATTTTCCACTACCCAGGGACTCTAAAGATCCTAAACATATCCCCAAATAATGGACTTAGTGGCTTTAACGAACTTCTTCTAAAAGAATAATACTTTGTCTAGCTTTTGTTCCCAGAAAACTGAACTGTTGCCATGCAGAAGTATTTCTAAGATTCATTTTTAACTTGACAATTACTCAAACCAATACATTTTAAGATAACTGAGTTCTCCCCAAAGTTTTCAGTTTCTCCTCATTAAAAAAAAAAAAATTAGGAAGATATATTTTAAAACATAAAACAAAGAAATAAAGATGAGTGTGAGAATATTCCAGATAATTTTTGTAGAATGTACAATATTGTCAGAAATAAAAGAGAGGAAGAAATGTTATCTAGAAAATTGCCTTCAGCATTTGCTCTATGAAGCAGCCATCTATAGTGACCCCTACTGGTTTAAATATTGGCATCATTTTACCTTCCTTTAGCCTCACTTGAGAGAGACATAATCATAGAAATGAGGAATCTAAGTATCGCAGAGTGTGTCAACTAATTCTTCCCATAGAACTAGAAATTCACACACACACACACGTACATTATACATGTATAAATATATACATAATACATTTATAAATGTATATAATAGAATGATAATAAGGAAAGTAGCTATTTATGCAAAAATATATTTTTTAAAACTTAACCCATGATTTTTAAAGCTGGAAAGGAAACACTACATTAACAATTTAGAAGAAAACAATAATAATTTAATCCTACAATGGATTTTTTTTGAGGGGGGGATGGATTTTGTGGTTATCTAGTTTAACTCTTCCATTTTAAAAACATCCTGAAGTTTCAATTACATTGGATAATAACATTATAAAAATAATAGAGAACTTTAAAAAAAAAGTTGTCAGATGCTCCTTAATATTATTAATGTTCTAGAAAACACGATTTGAGTAATACTACACCCAAGGCCATACAAATCTGTTGTTATTCAAATAACAATTATGTTGTCCTTCTGTGGGTGTTTTATTCTTTCTAGAAAAACCCGGAAGTTATCTTTGACTCTCTCTTCACCTTCAACTCCACAGCCAGCCAATATTAAATGCTCCAAATTCAACTCTGTGAAAGACTTCCAGTCCTCT